ATTTATTATGAAATTTCAATGCTCCTACGTACAGTCACCTTATTTTCCATAAATTAAAAATTTGAAACACGACCGCACTGAATGCCGGTTAACAATGCCTTTTTAAACAAGATTTTTTGGTGCATCAACGTCATTGCGATTGGGACTACCCCAGACAAAATTCTTAGCGTACAATTGGCAATAGACGGCCGTCAATCAAAACATCAGAAACAAGCCAGCAGTCAATGCAAACGACGCTAAACTTAATTGGATATTACACTTTGATTCACGAGATTTTGAAAATCACCACTCCTATTCATATTCAACGGCCTTTGTAGCTTTAGCTTTCTTTTTTTTTAATCCATATTATTATTTCAATTTGCCTTGGAAATTGTACCTTACAAATCGTCAGCATCTCCGTGACGGCTTGTCGACCCATATTGGCAGCAGCGATGGCGTCGTCTTGGTTACACGAGTTACCAGCAGCAACRACTTTAGCTGTTGCTAAGGTGACGCCTTTTGTGCTTCTAATGAGGTCCTCAGGAGAAGCGTCGCGTGTTGGTGGTGAAGGTGAGTTTAATACCTAAACAACAGGGATAATATTAGAATTATAGAATATTTGAGATCTTACACAACAAACCGGACTTACCAGTATAGCCTGTTTGACTGCTTCGTTGGTTGATTCGAGTGCGCGTGTYCCTCGCATTGATTTATCTTCTACTGTCTTGACGGTCATGAGTAACGATGACACGTTGGATACCATTGTCTGCAACRAAATAATAACCGTTTACCGACTGCTAACCGACCGATTATCTATTACTTATCTATTACTTATAGATCTCTCTCTGTTTTGAGATCTATAGACCCCTTGCATGTGAAGACAAAGAAGCTTCATCTGGAGGACAAAACAAAAGTTTTTTGCCCTCTTGGGAACTAGAATCTATTGTTCTGTCCTCCAGTTGGAGTTGCATTCCCACGAACTGCAAGGGGTCTATTAATTGAATCACTGATAGCAAAACAATAGACGGCTAATGGACAATTATCGGCTAATGCGTTGCTATAAACGTTTCCACCAAATTCAAACCACCCGGGAATAAGTTTCATTGTTCGTTGTATTTTCATTGCACAGTTGACAAAAGTTAGTTTTTCCACAGGATTTCATGAATTGGGTGGTAAAATACATAGCAACGCGTAAGCCGATTAGGTCTTATTGGCCGAACTCATCTGTGACTGGTTTACAGATCACTTGACCGAATCTGAGACTGTCCAATTAACTGATCGTGGTGAGGTTACTGAGGCTTAGACGCGGCAGTCTGGCATTTTTTGTAATGGTATCTTTCAGGATTGCCTACTCGGATTGTCTCCTTCACGGTTTCCTCTGCCATGCTAAAGTTAGCCATGCCTTCACATCGAAGCGAGCGTTGAGCGTGCAATTATAGAAACCTTCTTTCACACTTACAGACAATTATTCACAGGTATCTATCATTGCACGTACAATGGTCGTCTCGCTTCGATGTAAAGCATAGTTCATAGCAACCTTTGAAGGGATGGGCCCGGGAACCGTGAAGGAGAGTATTTTATGCCGTTCTTGTTTTGGAATGGCAAGGTTAGACGTGAAATAGACAATTACCTTAGCAGATGACTTGAGTGGTTCCATAG